TGTTTTTACTTAAGATTAATTAACTTTTTATCTATTTCTGCAAGTTCTATTACCAAAATTGAATATGAATGGCATCATTAAAGTACTTGGTCAGAATTTTCCTTAACAGGTTTGTAATATAAAAGTTTTTTTTAAAAGAAAGTTGCAGTAGTAGTCGAAAGTTTTCCTCCTTAAGTTTGTTTAAGTTCATTTACTTCCTTAAAAATTTTCTACGTCCAAAACTTCTCAATAGATTCAGCTAATTTAAAGCTTGAACAACTTTAAAATCAAATTAATATACCCTTCAAACAGCCTTTAACAAAAAGGGACTCTTTGGATCGAATATATATTATTTGTTCTTACTTTCGATAGCAAAATGATTAGAGCAAAGGTCAAAACAGTATTAGTTCCGCTCTTTTCAATCCGAAAATGAAACTTAATTTGGAAAGAAAACGATGATTGAGAGAAAGTTGAGAGAATAAATAGTTTTTGAAACGTTATTTTTCGTATTTAAAATTTTTTGTTAGTTTTAATAGTCCTGAAATAGTTTTTGAAACATTATTTTTCGTTTTTAAAATTTTTTGTCAGTTTTAATAGTTTTGAAATAGTTTTTGAAACGTTATTTTTCGTATTTAAAATTTTTTGTTAGTTTTAATAGTTTTGAAATAGTTTTTGAAACATTATTTTTCGTATTTAAAATTTTTTGTAAGTTTTAATTGTTTTGAAAAAATTTTTGAAACGTTATTTTTCGCATTTAAAATTTTTTGTTAGTTTTAATAGTTTTGAAATAGTTTTTGAAACGTTATTTTTCATATTTAAAATTTTTTGTTAGTTTTAATAGTTTTGGAATAGTTTTTGAAACGTTATTTTTCGTATTTAAAATTTTTTGTTAGTTTTAATAGTTTTGAAATAGTTATTGAAACATTATTTTTCGCATTTAAGATTTTTTGTAACAGTATTTATAGCGAGAAAAAAAAACATTATCAAACACTCTTAAAAATGTTTGTTCAATTCCAGTTCGTATCTAATATTAGCTCAATTTCATTACCAATATTTGTTTAATTCCAAATCCAATATTAGCTTAATTTAATTTTACGTTCGACACAATTATATAGCTGAAATGTTGCTAGTCTGGAGTAGAAAAATGGAATGTTTTTGTTATTTATCGCTCAATAATTCACTATAAATTTTGGAAGAATAGTGATATTGTATGACACAATTCGTGATAACAAGACAAGATTGTTAAGAAGTAAATTAAAAAAAAAAAACAATGTTTTTATTGAGGAAAAATGACTTCTTAATTTTTGCTTCAATTGAAATTTCATACTATTTTTATCCATCATTTGTAACAATCGGATATGAAAATATTTATAACACATTTTAAAATACACATTTTTTTTTAATTAAACAATGGTGAGTTTAAAAAACTAAGGATTTCACGGGACTAGTTTGGACACATAAGTGTTAGGAAACTACTTAGGAAATATACTTAGGAAATGTCAGTATTAACAGATTATTTTTTTTAGTGGTGGTAAATTTTCTTGAATGATACCAAGAATTTACTTTCTTAAGAGATCACATTAACGATTAGAGTTCTAGTACATATATATATTTATTTACAAAATTACATATGGAGGTGGGCACGAATTTAAGCGATAGAACTGTTATCCTCATTAAAATTTTCTCCGCGAAATACGTTTTTTACGTGAAATATTAGAGCGTAATTTTTATGGTAATATTTATTTAATTAAAGTGATTCATCGATTTTACTGTAATTATTACAGTAAAGATTACGGTATACCGGATTTTTTGTTCCTTATCGTGTTCTGGTTAAAATAGATTTTGCGGTTAAAAGTAATTTGATCCGGAATTTTTATACTGTAGTTTGCATCCTATATTGATTCCAGCTGATTTTTTTAATTGAAGATAAAATTATATTCCTATTTTTCTTGGATTCTTGAAAATTAGAATTACTTTTCTAAAATATTTAAGAGTAAGGAATATTTATAATTTTAAATTAAATGCTTTTGGTCGTTTCTCGTTTCTAGTTTAAATTCAGTAATGGCTTCAGTTCATTATCTTATGTAATATACAATTATATACTTAATTTCTTGAGGATTTTATTATTTCTAATAAAGTATTTAGTGACAATGTAAATATTTAGTTTACAGGTAAATGCATTTAAAAGTTTCCAGTTCATATCGAATATTAATTTCAATTTATTATTTTTTATCAGATATAATTAAATACTTTATATTTGGTATATTTTCAATAGATGCCGTTACTTCTTTAAATTATTTAGTGAAAACGTAAGTATCTAAAATTAAAATTAACTGCATTGCGTTGTTTTTAGTTTCTACTCAATATCATATTCAACTTATTTTTTTATAATGATCGTTTAATGCAATCAGATAATGACTTTTTTGCTTTTGTTTGAAGATATGATTATTTCTTTAAAGTATTTGGTGAAGATTTACACATTTCATTTATGATTAAAAGAAAGCACTTGGAAATTTCTAGTTGATATACAATTTTAATTTCAAGCCATTGTCTTATGCAAGGTATAATTAAATACAAATGATCAAAAATAATTAGCGAATGCATGTTGAAACACAATTATTTAATATTATATTGAATGCATTTGCTATTTTGTGTATACCTAAAGCTACACTGAGAAAAAAATATGGCGAAAACTACCAGAATATGCTTAATTTTACCTTGTTTCCAGCTCTATGGGAGCTCCCAAAACTTTTAAAAAATTGCTATCTTTTTATAAATTTAACAACAAAATATGGTTTTGTTCTTATGTCGTTTAGTAGTAAATGTGGTAAAATATGGAAATTTGTTGAGATTTCTTAGAACATTGCATAAAAAACCATTTATTTGGTTTTGATTTACTTTTTAGTTTAATAATTACTGAAGATGTGGTAATAAAAACTATAATTTTGAAAACGAGAATTTCCCGTAAATATTTAGCAGAACGGAAAAATTATCGAAGGAATAGTTTAGAAGCCGCATTCTTTGGTTTTATTACGAAAAATATATTTTTTTTACCAGAAATGTTATTACAGTACAAGTACGGTAATTTTACCAGAATTTTTTTCTCCGTGTTACTTAAATTCATTGTTTCACGTAATACACAATTTAATACTAATTGTAAAACAAGTATTTAATATGCATCTTTTAACAATACAATTGCTTCTAAAATGTGTTTTCTGAAAAGGTAAATATCTCTTTCATAATTAAACGTCTAAATAAAAGTGTTGAGCGTGGAACTGTATTTTGTGAACAATGGTGTGTTTTATTATTTGTTACGTCAGTAAACTTTTCAAGCAATTTACAAAATGTACATCTCTCAATTTAATGAAAAGATTGTCGTTTAACAGTTTTTCTCTTCTTTCATTGGAGAAAAATATCACATGATATAATCTTGAAAATAAAGGTAGATCCAGATAACTTCCCTATGGGTATCAACAGTATTATATTAATAAAAGTTTGTAAGGTGATTATGTAAATTATACTATAAATGTAGGTATTTCTAAATTATTTATCCATCCAATATTAAACGGTATTTGGCCGTAATATTTATTTATCTTGCCTTCTGAACATTTCCATTCTTTCTGCATTATTATTATATTTTTAGTTTTGATTATTATTTAAAATTGAAGGCTAGAAATAAAAGCGGTGCTCATTTTTTATATTTTAATCCCATGATAATATCTAATCATGCGATAACTTACGATGCCTTTCAATACATTTAGCTACCGATTTACAATAGCTGAACAGTTAATAAGTTATAATTATTTTTTATGCAAAAGTCAACAATGCATGCAAATAAAAAATAATATTATTAGCTGTTTTATATATTACTGCTTTACTAATACTTAACTTATAGCACTATTATTAAATAACCTTTTTATCTTAGTTGTTTAATTGTTTCAGTCACCAAAAATTAAATAAAAATTAAAAAATAAGTTTGTAGAAACTTTTAATTATAAAAAAAACGGAAATAAATTTTAAAATGTTATAAAAACAATAAGAAACTTGAAACAACACAAGTTTATGGATAAAGTTATAATAGTAACAGAGTAAAACAATTCGATTAAATTGTATCTCATTTATGTCAGAAACTTAGAAAAAAAGATCAAAAGAAGAAAGAACTGCGAAAACAAACCTTAATAACTTGTCATTTTTCTTTTAAAAAAATTAAAAGCAAGTTAGTAGAAAAAGTTGCAATGGTAATCGAGTAAAATAATTAGACTTTAATTTTATCGCCATAGCACCAAAAGCTCAATACCACTTCTCCCACAATAAATAAACAAATTCAAAAACAAAGAAACTATCATGTAATAAAGAAATCAAGCAAGTAGTTTTGTCATTAAAAAATGAAACAAACACAACAAATGACTTCACTTTTTAACAAACAAAAGATGGTTGTTTTATTTAAAAGATGGAAGCTGTAAGAAGCGTGCATATCAAGGAGTGCCAACTTCTCAGCCAACAGATCTCTTAAAGTAATTGCTTTCTGCGTATCACTCCTCCACTCATATTTTAAATTCAAGTTTGAATTTGATATTATTTACCTGGTATTCCTACATCATAATTAATTCATAATCACTTTTCCAGTCAATAAATAATAATATTAATAATAAACATTAAATAATGAAAATTAAATAATAATAGTAATAATAAACATTTTAGCAGAACATGTTACAGAACGAAAAAAAATGATATACCTTAGTTCTCACAAAAATAATTACCGTTAAATTACTGAATCTCTCTAAGTCAATAAATATTACTGTAAAAATTACGGTATAATATTTCAAAGGAAAAAATATATTTTACGGATAATGCAGTCGAAGATCAAATTATACCATAATTTGATCAGAAATTTTTACAGTGTATTTGTCTTGAGAAAAATGAACACAATAATAATAGAAATTTCAGAACAACTTATTGAATAATGGGACAATTAATATTAACTAAAAGGGCATACATGACATTTATTATTTTTTTTCCAGACTGCATTTTACTGCAAGAGACTCCTCATAACAATGCTTTGGACTCAAGCGCTGGTAGCTTCCATGGCAATCATTAGTGTAAGTAAATTGTGTTTTGTTATAAAATTTTACAATCGCTAATATACACATAACTTGACTTTAAATACACATTGCGTACGGTTTAATGCATAATTAATATTGTGCATACGGTATATTATCCAATTTTTTCAGTTATTACAAATATCTCATTTCTGGTGAATATTTTTTAAAATCGAAATAAATCGATCTATATTGTCTATTTCGATTTTAAAAAATATTCACGAGAAATGAGATACTTGTAATAACTGAAAAAATAAGATAATGCACCCTATACACAATATCAATCACGCATTAAACCGAACGCAATGTTTATGTAAGGGCAAGTTATGTGTATGCAAGGACGCAATATGTTCTGTATACGCCGACCTTCATCTATGTTTTTAAAATGCTGATAAAAAATGTATACCCGTTGGGGGTTATAAAACAATATTTTTGAAATGAAAAAGAAACATCAAGAAAACATTTAAATGAAAGAGAGAAATGGTCAAATTAGTATGCAGTGCAATGCTTATTTTTTTTTTCTAAGATGAAAATAGGCTATTTCTAGTCACATAGGAAATTATGTCAATCTTGTTTCGTGAAAAAATGAAGGGGAAAAACTAGGTTTGTTTACAAAATATATGAAAAGAAACTACGTGTTTGATGTTAAAAATAGAACAAATAATTAAAAGATCATTGTAACTGTGATATAAATATCTAAGTCTTACTGAAACCACGTCTTATTCAAATCAGTTCTAAAATAAGTCTATGTGACTTAAAAAAATTATTTCAAACTTATTAAACGTTGGATTTACAAAATGCATTTTAATTATAGAGAGCAAAAATTTAATTATGTTGAAAATTAGAGAATTAAAATTTCAATTCTTAAAATTGCAATAATTTATTTTACAGATTTACCTACGTTAGTTGGTGATGTTTCTTTTATAGGTTTGCAACTTTAATGTTCTTTCTTTACAATACTTACAATACTTAATGTTCACGATACTTTCAGTTTCGCCAAGTTAAATAGTTATTAGTGTTCAATTTTGAGGGTTTTTCTTTTTCTTAATCAAAAGAAGCATACTTTTTCCTTGGATATACTGGCATTTTTCAGGACGCAAGGAAACAATGCTTACAATTCAATCAGGACTATAAACACGTATCAATGAAAAAAAAAACCATACAGTTCAATTGAATGTTAGATCACTTTTTTTGTTGGATTTATGGAATTTAATATTTGCATAACATATGGGCTTGTTGTTACAATGAACATTAAAAACAAAAGCAAACTCCAGGACGAAAACGTTCCCGGTTGTAGATTTTAACATGAATATAGCGGAGTCTGAACCTGTATCTACGGCGTTTCGGTACTCTAGTGAGTGGGAATGTGGTTCCAGAACTTTAGTGAACAAATAATTAATCTTAACCTAAAAATCTGAAATTACTTTTTTTTAAAAATAACTTTTATTAATACATATACATCGATAGAAAATATAAGTCAGAGAAAAATTTATCTGTTTAATGAAAAATGTAACTTTAATCTAACATGAATCCTGTTTCATGTAGCTTTGATGTTTCATGTAACATTTTCAACATAACATGAAAATTGTAAATGTATAGTCTGTTGATAGTTAAAAATGTAGCTTTTTATAAAGCCGTCATCTTTGTTCTAAGTAATTTGCATAAATAAAAAAAAATCCCAATTAAAAATACTATCAATCAAACAAAAGTCTAAAATAAATATGATAAAGCCTTATTAGCTAAGACAACTAGAATAAAGATACCAGCTTAAGTTACAAAATGCTTCACATCAAGCGATTAGACTATCAGGATGAAAAGAAACTCGACAATGAAATGATTAAATGCCGCACGCTCAGATAATTAGCTAAATATCCTTTTAGCCGCCAATAATAGCGTCAATGTTTCCTTTTAATCGCCGACCAGAGGCGTCTTTAAAGCTTGCAAAAATTATTTGTCTCTCGCAATAAGCTAACAAGACGAACCTTGTTTGAAGAACAGGATAAAATTCCTCACTTGTGATTGTCGCACCTGTAATAGAAGCAGGAAATGACCCGTGATGACCGAACAAGTTAGGAGGGAAGGCAATATAAAAACTTATAGTTACCACTATCGCGGAAGTTCTCTTTCTCATTGCAAACATAAGCATGCCCTTGACCTTCTCGGAAGTGGCTTTTTGCAAACAATCATGTGGGTCAGCAGGGAATGGTTGGACCCAAGCGCACGTGAGGAATACTGTTGCATCATTGCCAATATAAAGAGATGCCATAGTTCAGACAGTTAACCATTACCACATTTCTCCAGGGAAAGGAATATAGGGCAAAAAATTGAACTGGAATTTAATTTAGTCGTTACTCAGGAATGTTGAAGTTTTCATGGAATTTAATTTTCGGGTCCTCGGGATTAAACCAAGTGAAACTTGTCTTTTTATTTTCTATTATTTTAATTGCTAAGATACTATTCTTAATTTTGATTAAATATTCAATATCCCCTTCTGAGAATTATTTAAATATGAAGAAATTTTGTTCAACCGATATTACCAAATTTTACTTATTGAAAAATATTTTCAATATACTATGACAAACTTGGCTAAAGAAAAGCCTAAAAATCTATATTACTAAACTATGTTCTGTTCAGTTATTTAACCGTTTGTAACCAAGTCCCATTGCTACATTTCTGAAGGGAAAAGAATATAAGGGAGAGAAAATCGTCAGAATTCAGTCGTTGTTTAGGAAATTCGACTGAAATTTCTGTAAACCGATGTAAGAAATTATCCGATGATAAGAAATTTAGCCGATGGTAAGAAATTTAGCATAAATAAAAAATAAACTCTACATCAATAAATATAAATTTTGCATGAACTAGTTAATTTTAATTTTCAATCCGAAGTTTTTACAGTTAATCATAACCTTAAGGAGAAGGATAATATNACTATTTTTAAGAACAAAATAATCACAAGTATTTGACGCGTGTACACTGTGCTTGTTGCTAAAGCTTCTGAAAAATTTTGCATATACATCGCAAGAGCAAAATATCTGTAAATGTTACACACCTATTTTTGAGAACAACTATGCGTGGTTGACAAAATTGCATATAAAGTTTTTTTTTACTCGAAAAAATTGCCAGCTTCAAGAAGAAGAAAAATATTAATTGCCTTATATGTTAGAGTTCTTATTGTTCCTCTGCCCCAGAGAGCAGATTTTTACACAATCATTAAGTAATTACATACTTGTAGTACATTATTTCATATCTTAAGTTTTGCCGAATTTTCAGTTTACTTCATGTATTAAAAACTGTTTTGAAATTTCTCATTTTTATTCATTGAACAATTTTATTCATTCAACAATGTAATTGGTTCCTGGAAACATATGTTTTTCTTGTTATTTTTTAGCACTCCCAACAAAATGAAAAGGGTTTTCTTTTTCTTCTTATTGTTATCCAGGCTTTTGTCCGTAGTTAAAAACGAGTTCCGCATTCATGAACACATAGGACAAAAACAAAAGACCGGACAAAAACAAAAGACGATGGTCGATCTATTGTGTATCATTTATATGAAAAATTGTGATATTTTATTGCTTTTTTATTCTTTTAATATCAAAATCGAGTTAGTTAACAGTTAAAAAATAATTCTCCTTTGTGTTAAATCAGCATTATTTGTTCTTTTAAAATAAAAACTTTAAAAAAAATGATAAATAAAAAAAAATAATAAATTTAACGAGAAAGAGTTATTTTTGAAACTTTTTCTATGAAATATGCTAAACTTCGCTTTCAAATTCACTCTGTACAGCAATCTATAAGTCAAAAACTATCTCGTAGTACCCCATGTTATTAAGTGTAAAACAAAAACACTCACAATTTTAAAAGAAAATGATTAATTTTTAAAAATTTTAAACTTTTATGTTATTTTTATTTCTTTTGGCAATGCTGGGCGAATAAAAGAAAAATTAGAATTTAACACTGAAATAGCAGAAAAGTTTATGTTATTATCTTAATTTTAATATATTCAAATATACTTGTTCACGGAAAAAGAAAACTACGAAGCAAAACATAATAATTTCTTTAAAGTGTTAAGTATTATTGTTTAGCGACGTTCTTTAGTATCGTTAGAAGCACGTAAGTTAAATCGTCATTATAAAGAGTTTGCAGCAGTTAATAAAGTTTTTTTTTAATATTTCAGTTGGTATTGGGAGCAGATGAAATAAAAGAAAAAATTGATTTGGAACATTCAGAAGATATCGCAACTTCACCCGAGGAAGATAAGACAAAAGTTTTTCAGGAAAGAGGAGATATTCAACAAACTTTTAAAACAAAACAGCAAAAGAAAAGTGGCGGAGGTCAAGAAAGTGTAGTTATTCCAGTACCAGCTGCACCACCTTTAAATCATATTCTTATTCCTCCTCCAAATTTGGTGAGAAATCCTGGTCCACCACCACCACCTTCTCAACAAAGGAAAGAGGTGCATCACTCGTATAAAACATCAAACCAAATACTTCACCAATCTTTTGAAGTTTCTCCAGACATTCAAGGTCATCACAATTCATATCAAACTGGAGGGGGTCATCAAGAATTTCACCATCAGGAAGTAAGTGCTCACCACGACTACTCATCGGATCACGACTCTTCATACCCAGATACTGGTGGCAACCAAATTAATATTCAAGGCCATTCCGAAGAAGATGAGTATAAGCCTGAAAGCCATAATAGTTTATTTCAAGGATTTCCAAGTTTACCCCATAGTGAGCCATGGCCTTTGCCAATGCCAGATATGCCTAAAATCATCCATTTGGACGTTAAATGCGAGAAAAATCTTATGAAAGTCACCATTGAATTTGATAAACCATTCCATGGAGTAGTATTCAGTAAAGGTCATTACAGTCAAGGTAATTGTGTACATTTACCTCCTGGAACAGGACATACTAGTGTATATTTCGATATATCCATTAATAGTTGTGGAACCCATGGTAATTCCCCTAGCGGACAATACAATAACTATGGGAGCCAAAACCCATCTGGAAGTTACTTTGAAAACACTATTGTCGTTCAGTATGACCCCCAAGTACAGGAAGTTTGGGATCAAGCTCGGAGGTTGAGATGTACATGGCACGATCAATATGAAAAAGCTGTAACATTTCGGCCATTTCCGGTAGACATGTTAAATGTAGTAAGAGCTGATTTTGCTGGAGACAACGTCGGATGTTGGATGCAGATTCAAGTTGGTAAGGGACCTTGGGCCAGTGAAGTGAGTGGTATTGTCAAAATCGGACAAACTATGACCATGGTCTTAGCCATCAAAGACGAAGAAAACAAGTTTGATATGATGGTGAGAAACTGTATCGCGCATGATGGTAAACGAGCTCCTATAGAACTTGTGGATGGTCAAGGCTGCATCGTTAGACCCAAACTTATGAGTAGGTTTACTAAAGTTAAAAACTTCGGATCCAGCGCGTCAGTGCTTGCATTTGCTCATTTCCAGGCATTTAAATTCCCTGATTCCATGGATGTTCACTTTCAATGCACCATACAGATATGCAGACCCAACTGTCCCGAGCAGTGTGCAGTTTCTTCTCCAGGACTAGGTCACCAAGTTGTGCCAAATCACGATCTTTATTCTTCCGGATCAGCTCATTCCGCTGTTGTAAGACCAAGAGAAGAACGAGATGTTTCCCACCAGATGGAGCCACTTGTTAAAGATTCTATTCCCCAGATGACTGAGATTGGCTTGAATCGTGTTATTCGCGTGGTTTCTTCGGGTGATCTTGCGTTTGCTGATCTTCCAGCACCAGAAGAGGCAACATCAGACTTTGAAAGTTTCGAAAAAGATGATGTCATCTGTATGTCTACGCCTGGATTTGCTGCTTCCCTTATAGTGCTGCTTTTGATACTAGTTATATCTTGTCTCGTAGCTGCTTTTCTCTGTCTCCGCCAAAAGTCTCCCAGAGACATAATTACTTCTATATCTGGCACAATTATAAAGAAAAAGTAATTGGATTTTTTGAACTTGACTCTTAAGAGCTTAGATCCTTATTTAATGGATCATGGCAGAATTTTATCATTTTTTATTTGTTGTAGCTGTTATTTCAACTCAGGAATGTAAACATTTGAGGTCGAAAGATGAAATGGATTGAATGTCTATGAATTATTCATTAGCAACAGAAAAAAAGCCAACTTGCTTTTAGATTGGATGATTTATTTCGAACGAAGAGATATTATTTATTTTATTGAATGATTGAAATGCAATTTCGCAAAGATTGCAATGTATTAGAATCATACGTCATTTTTACTTAGCACGTTTTTCCTGAGAAATTTATTCTTTGTCACATGCAGTAATTTTTAATTTATTGCATATTACAATCATATTCTCAAATTCAAATGTTTTGTTTGTCATCAAATGTCATCAATTCTATTTCGTAAGCTAGTTTGTAATATCATTTGATTTAAGAAAAATTTGTTATAGTTCATGTTTGCAATTTATCGAAAAACAATTTATTTAAATTATAATCTTAGAAGGAATTTATATTGTAAGATATTTTAAAGAACAGAAAGTGATCACATAACATTCAAATTTTATGCAGCTAATATTTAGAAATTAGTCATAATGCGCTTTATATTCAATTTGTTTGGATAGCTTATACACTTAACTTGATTTTGTAAATTTTTTTTACACTTCTGAGACTTTTACGCTAAAAAGCACAGCCAATTCATTACTTTTTTTTCAATTTTAATTTTCATTGGAAATGTAAACACAAACATTAAAATAGCGGATTTTATTGAATCAATTACAGAAAATGTTATGTGAGGTTTTTGTTTTTAAAATGTTTCATGTTTTTAAATGTTGTATCTAGATTTACTGGAAAATATTGTTTTGGAATTTTACCTTGATGTTTCAGCTTTGGAAATTATAGTTTTTAACAAGTTTTGGACTAGAATTTTTAAATATTTGAAATAAGAATGAATATTAATTATAGAAAATGCATCCTCCTATGCATTATTGCTTATTTTAGGGTTTCGTTTTAAATATTTTATGTATTTCTGTGTACAGAATCCGTGCAAAGGTCTGTTTGTGAAAAACACTAAGTCACATTTTTCATTTCTTTATACAGTTTGTCAAAGTTATTGTCATATTTTTCATTTATTTATTTTTATTTTGGTTTTATTCTCAGATTGTACGATTTGGTGCAGTTTATATAGTAAATAAGAACCACCGATTAAATAAAGTATCATTATGAACGTGACTCAGATTTTACTTATAATTATGCAAAAATACAATTTGTACTATGCGCCAAACAAGCGGAAAACTTTAATATTTTTGATCTAGTAATGTTGATGTTCCTTACACTAAGAGAGAAATTTAATGCCTCGAGAGGGTAACCTTCATGCTGATTAATAAGTGCAGATAATATTCTAAGTTTCGAAATCAGAGACAAAATGTACTTTCCCTGAATAAACATCTCTTTTTATCAAAAGGGTCTGGAGTTCTGACTCTCAAAGCATGGGGTTAGCTGTAATTTGGAAAACATGGTCCAAATTGTTTCGTCCACAGAGCAATCTTAACTTTGGAAGCCTTAATGTTAATTTCGCTTTTAGCTTACATCGTCATATTTCTGTAACTATTCAAGTGAATCAAAAGAAATTTGTATACTATTGCCAAAAAAAACTCGTTTGTCAAAGGAAATTTTCAGAAAAAAATGCAATTTTTAAAATTATTTATTATTTTTTCATTGAATAACGTTTGAAAAATTTTTTGAATTGTAAGGTATAAATTATTTTCTTTATTTTGAACTATTTAAATTTAAATCATAAAAAGCGAAAATTGAGTACAATTAGTTTAATAGTTTTAGAGCAATACAAATGTAAAGAAAGCCATTATTTTAAATTTTCCTTACTGATAAACTTTTCATCTGATTTCCCTCAAAATAGGGATTTTATTTTTTTTACAATTACGCAGTTCATCTTACAAATCAAAACAATTTCGATTATTAATAAATTAAATAATAAAAATAATAAATAAATTTAAAAGAAAATATTTTTGACATTCAAATATTTTTTTTTCCCTTGGAAATAAGATTTTGAAATTGAATTGAGTCGAATTTTTTTAAAATGCCCTTTAATAAATTCAGAGATAAAAATGAGCGTCAAGGATCAAAAGTTTTCGATTATTAATAAATTGAATAATAAAAATAATTAATAAATTTAAAAGAAAATATTTTTGACATCCAAATATTTTTTATCCTTTGGAAATGAGATTTTGAAATTGAAGTTAGTAGAGTTTTTCTTAAATGCCCTTAAATAAATTCAGAGATAAAAATGAACGTCAAGGACCAAAAATTTTCGATTATTAATAAATTGAATAATGAAAATAATAAATAAATTTTAAAGAAGATATTTTTGACATCCAAATATTTTTTATCCTTTGGAAATGAGATTTTGAAATTGAATTGATTAGAAATTTTTCTAAAGGCCTTTAAATAAATTCGGAGATGAAAATGAACGTCAAGGATCAAAAACTTTATTTCGCATTTTGACTAAACCATTAAGTAATATTTTCTTGATTGTGGCTTCATCCCCTATTATTTGATATTCAAGCGCCCATTTTCTGTTTAAATAAGATAAAATTATTCCAAAAAAAACAAAAACAAAATCGCATATTTTTGTGCCAGATTAATTACGTCACTCATTAAAAAAGTCACCCAGATTGAAAAAGTCACTCATTAGCATAACAAGAATAGCTTATTTGCCGTCAGTCCCTCAAGCCATGGTGTCGTATTAAGTGACCATCCGTTTATTAGCTCAATATTAGGCGTTCTATGTTTAAATGTAGGCTTTTATGAACATATTTTCTCCGGACATTCCCATACGGAGATTTGCAACTAATTTAAAGCGTGTAGCGTTTACAGAACATGAAAAAAAAAATCCGTAAGAGCATAAATTATAAGTAGGAATCACCAACAGGGACTGATCAAGACAAATTCATACTCAAGGCCGATCAAATTTTCCCGGCCCCTTACGAAATATTTTGAAATTAAGTTTCTGAAGAGTAGTCCTAACAATAAAAAGGAATCTATTGAACTGCACGATTCAAGAGAAACGTTCTAAGAAATTTTGAAATCAAACAATTGAAGATCATTTTTCTAAGATAAAGTTCTCGCATCTATATAAAGCAAAATATAAAACAGCAAAACAATGTTTTGTCAAAATAAAAATAGTTTAGTGACCACAAACAATTGAAAATCAGTGATTTTTGCTAAAAGTCACTGATTAGTAGAATTATTTTTCATTGTAAGCTATAATTATTTTTTTTGTTTAGTACTTAAACCAACACAAAGCTTAGCCGACTTTTTATTAGATTGAACGATAAGTTCAGCATGTAAGATATTAAGGTTATAAATTATAATTTTTATTAAAAAAATACGCACAAAAAATATCGGGAAGGAGCCAAAATTATAGCTACTCATAGAAAAATAAAAACGCATTTAAATAATAATTTATTTAAAGATATCACTTTAAAAAATTGAAATTCATATTCAGTGCATTCACTTAAGCCGTTGACGTAAAATCTGCACCAATTCAAATTCAGCTGTACTTTCGGATTTGATTAGTGCAATGTTTACACGAATTTGGTTTATCACAATATAAAGAAAATTTGAAGAAGAAAGAAAAAGTGAAATTTTCGAGAAAAACTGTTTTTTTTTTCAGTATTTAAAAAAAATAGTAATATTGTGGACTTTTTACAAATTTTTGAGGCCCTCCAGAAAGTGTTGGCCATAGGCCAGTGCCTATTGGGATTAGGCGGTAATCAGGCCCTGATTGCCAATCATCAGTGTCAAAGAACTTTCGACATGTGGTACTAAATTTAAATTTATGGTATCTACTATGGTGGGTTTTTAGAAAATTTAAAATATCATCACGGTTATGATGATAATTAAGATAACGTTTGATAAGTTCAGTTCAACCTTTTATTTCTTATAAAAAAGTGAAAAATTCATCTCTAATTTAACTATTGCATTTATTATTTTTCGAATAAGTTAGGATGCATTATTTTGAAATTCGAGTACTGTAAAAATGCCTGACAGTTTTAGTCTATGTTCGAGATAAGACTACCATCCTTTGGGTCAATGAAAGGGACCGCTAAAATTGTGTTGTTGTTGTTTCTAATCCCCAAGAGGTCCATGCCAATTAGACCAATTCCATAAGTCCAAAAATGTCCAGGAAGTCTAAAAACAGATGAGGTTTTGAAAAAACCTCGTCGATCTTAAAATCGATACAGTTTAGAATATGCTCGGGCGAAGCCTGAGCAGTCNAATTTGATTAGTGCAATGTTTACACGAGTTTGGTTTATCACGATATAAGGAAAATTTGAAGAAGAAAAAAAAAGGAAATTTTTGAGAAAAACTGTTTCTTTCAGTATTTAAAAAAAATAGTAATATTGTGGACTTTTTACAAATTTTTGAGGCTCTCCAGAAAATGTGGGCTCTAGGCCAGTGCCTATTGGGCCTAGGCGGTAATCAGACCCTGATTGCCAATCATCAGTGTCAAAGAACTTTCGACATGTGGTACTAAATTTAAATTTCTGGTACCTACTATGGTGGGTCAGTAGCAAATTTAAAATATCAGCATGGCTATGATAATTAAGATAACGCTTGATAAGTTCAGTTCAACCTTTTATTTCTTATAAAAAAGTGAAAAATTGATCTTTAATTTAACTATTGCATGTATTATTTTTCGAATAAGTTTGGATGCATTATTTTGAAATTCGAGTACTGTCGAAATGCCTGTCAGTTTTTTTTAGTCTATGTTCGAGACAAGACTATCATCCTTTGGTATTTGGTGAGCAAGCGAAGCTTGAAGTAGGTTAATGAAAGGGACCGCTAGAATTGTTTCTGGGATTGGTCAGCGGTAGCAATCAGGGGTGGAAAACCCACAGTATATACAACACAAGCAGCAAAATCTATAGTGTATGCACTCAAAAATGCTACAATGAGAGTAAAAACTTTAAAGGATAGTTAAATTAATAATGAAATATTATGAAGCTTTGATAACCCAAATACTGTGAGTTTGCGTTAAAATTATATTGTTATTTTTACTGACATACATGCTCTGGTATTTTAGATAAAAAACTGTTTTTAAAGTTATGCATTTATGATTATATATTGAGTCAGAAAACTGGTAATCTCCGTAAGAAGAAATCCGGGAAATCCATTATAGATGATCTTATTTTTTAAAACAAATGGAAATAATTCAAATTTAAATAGAATAAAATTAGCATCATTATTAATAGTGATATTTATTTAACTTTATTTAATTGCTCAAATAACGGATGGACGCGTCATATAAATATAACATTTATTGTTCAAAACGGCAAATTAAGATTCATTCGTGGTACCAGTTTGATTGCCTGAAAATAACTTATTAGGAAATGAAATAATAATTTTAAAGAAATAAAAATAATAAAGAAAAAATGATACAAGCTCTTTTTACACTTCTTGTAGTGCTGCCATCTGCCAGATAATATCGAAACTGCATGCATTGCAATAAATTAAGTTGATGGTTCAATAAAAGTAAATAAATAAGTTAAAATGAGAAAATGGATTTAATTTAAATTAAAAATCTAAATTTTTACGCATTTAGAAACAAATAAGTTATTAAAGCGGCTATAGTGCTGCTATCTAGACGCAACATAATAAAGCTTACTGTAAAAAATTTATACTTCTGTTATATTAATTCCAAAAAGCAAATTATTTAGCTAATATTTATAACTTATCCTCTTAAATGAATTAAAAATTAAATATAAATAAAATAAAACTAAATGTAATAAAATAAATTACGGAATAACAAATAAACATTAGAGATTAAATAAGTTTATTTGTAGAAATTGGAGTAACTTTAGATGCTCAGAACAATAACATAGAAAGCATATATTTCCGCAACTAAACTTTTTTTTTTAATAAAATGTTAATTACTTATTTTTTTCAAGAGTAAAAATCTGTCTCCATGAAGATTTTATAATCCAATTAATTCAACATTCAGTAAACACATGTTTGAATATTTGCTATTTATATTTTTAAAAGAAAAGAAAAATAAAATGTTATGATGCTGCTGCCATCTATTGGATTATTTATGAAAAAAAGCATAGAACTAAATTTTTTTTCGCCCATCTTTTTAATTTTTTCTTTTGATCGAATTTAAATGCGAAAGTTAAATCAGATTTTTTGATAGAAGGCAAAATCTGCATCTG